AAGAACATTTGATTATTTATAAAAATAAAAATGACTGTTTTATGCTCAGGACATCTGTGTTTTGACTTACTGAGAATAGAATGTTGATTCTGACCATGCTTACATATATCATTTTTTTTTTTTTCGTAGAGACAGAGTCTCACTTTTTCGTCCTCAGTCCTCAGTAGGACTCCTGGGCTTAGGCGATTCTTCTGCCTCAGCCTCCCACATAGCTGGGACTACAGGCGCCCGCCACATTGCCCGGCTATCTGTATTCTCATGATTGGTTCAGATTCTATGTCTAGGGCAAGTGATACTGTACCTTTCTTGGGAGGCACATGATACTGACTTGTCCCACTGCTGATGAGACCTATTTTGGTCACTTGATTAAGCTAATGTTTGCCAAACTTCTCCATTGTGAAGTTGCTCTTTAATTATTAAGTATCTTATGGGCAATACTTTGTGATATCAAAAAATCCTCAACAAACTTCCAATTTATTTATATCAGCATTGATTCATGCTAATTTTATTCAGTGGATTATAATCCATATCTACCATTATTTTTCAATGTTTAGTTTGTTCCAAATTTGGCCAGTGGTTCAAACCTCTTCATGCTGGCTCCTGTGACATGTCTCATCATTCTTTGCGCACTGCTTTTATTTCTTTGGGTACAAAATTTTCCAGGCTCATCTTCCAGGCTGTTAATAAACCCATGAGGCAGATGCTATTATTATCACCCCCATGATAGAGATGGGGAAACCTAGAAAAGGCTCAGGACTAGTAGTTAGCAATTTGTAGTGGCTGGATTGTGAATACAGACCATCTAGCTTCAGAGCCTAAGCTCTAACCCCACCCCCAGTTTTTTATTTTAAAATAATTTTAGAGAAAAGTTGCAAAAATGGTACAGAGTTCCTATATACCTTTGACCCAGTTTCCCCTAATGTTAACACCTGCCATTACTATAGTTATAGTACAGCTATTGAGGCCAAGAAAATAACACTGATTCAGTACTAGTAACTAATCAACAGAACTTATGGGGATTTTGCAGGTTTTCCTGATAAAAGTCTTTTTCCAACACAGTCTCAACGTTGCACTTGGTCTTTGTCTAAATGGCCGGTCACTTTTGAGAAAGAGAACTGATCCATTAATTTGTAGACTGCCTTATTTGGGTTTGCCTCCTGCTTGCTCCTGGTTAGACTGCAGTGATGCAAGAACATCAGAGGTGAAACTGGGCCCTAAGACAATGACTTATTACTGAAGATGTAAACTTTGACCATTCAGTTAAGGTGGTGTCTGCTGGGTTTCTCTACCACAGTGTTTTTCAACCTTTTTTTTTTTTTTTAATCTTATGACACACTTAAACCTATAGTTAAACTTCTGCAGCATACTAATGTTGATCCAAAAAAAAAGTAAAAAAGAATGCTTACTGTGCTTTGAACTTCTTAAAAAATGTAATTGATAATCTTTTTTTTTTTTTGGAGACAGAGCCTCAAGCTATCCCCCTGGGTAGAGTGCCATGGCATCACAGCTCACAGCAACCTCCAACTCCTGGGCTCAAGCGAGTCTCCTGCCTCCGCCTCCCAAGTAGCTGGGACCACAGGTGCCCGCCACGACGCCCGGCCATTTTTTGGTTGCAGCCGTCATTGTTGTTTGGCGGGTCCGGGCTGGGAACTCGAACCCGCCACCTTAGGTGTATGTGGCTGGCGCCTTAGCCGGTTGAGCCACAGGTGCCGAGCCGTAATTGATAATCTTTAAAAAATTTCATGGCACGCCAGTGTGCTGCAGCACACTAGTTGAAAAAAATCACTGGGTTACCATAAAACTAGTATTTTCCTTTTGTAATTAATAAGCATCTTATGGGGAGATACTCTGAGACAATGTAAATATCCTTATTGTTGGCCACTTATTTTCGTATCCATTCTTGCCTACAATTATTACTGTGGTGTTTTCTCAGCAGTGATCTCCCTTTTCCATTATTTCTTTAACTTTTTTTTTTTGAGACAGAGTCTTAAGCTGTCGCCCTGGGTAGAGTGCTGTGGCATCACAGCTTACAGCAACCTTAAACTCTTGGGCTGAAGAGATTCTCTTGCCTCAGCCTCCCAAGTAGCTGGGACTATAGGTGCCCACCACAACGCCCACCTATATTTGACATTAATTGGAATTCTACTGGAAGAGAAGGGAGAGCTGTTACCTCTTCCCCCATGCACGTATTCATATTCACATATTTATTTATGTCAGTATGAGTCACATATTTTATGCTATATCTAATAATTCATTATAGTTTTGAGCATTGGGCACTCCAAGTTGTTCCTGTGTCTGAGACAAATCCCTTCTTTTTTTTTTAAGTTCTTCCTTACTTTATGGTACCACAAGATATTCCAGGCTAAGTTTACATTTTCCCTGTCCCAGGGGAAATGTAATGTGCCTCACTGGGAGGACCAAACCTTTGTTTCTGGGTAGAAGTGGGCTCCATCTGAACCTATGGCCACCTAGCAGCTTAGAAATTGAATGCCATGTCCCTTCACCAGGGAAGAACATAGCCTTTGTGGTATTTATGAAACTACCTACAAGTACAGAATGCATTTTTTCCCAGAATGGTATTTAGAAACCAAGATCTGGGCTCAGCACCTGTGGCTCAAGTGGCTAAGGTGCCAGCCACATACACCTAAGGTGGCGGGTTCGAATCCAGCCCTGGCCTGCCAAACAACGATGGCTGCAACCAAAAAAGAAAAAATCGTCAGGCGTCGTGGCGGGCGCCTGTGGTCCCAGCAACTTGGGAGGAGGCAGGAGACTCGCTTGAGCCCAGGAGTTGGAGGTTGCTGTAAGCTGTGATGCCATGGCACTCTACCCAGGGGGACAGCTTGAGGCTCTGTCTCAAAAAAAAAAGAAACCAAGATCTGAACATGCTCTGTACTCAATAGCTACTGCTATGTCAAGCAGACAGGGCTAGGAAATGCATTTATATATCCTAACCCTGGCACTCAACACACGTTTACTTCAGTATCTGTGTGTATATCAAAACCATGAGTTCACACTACCTCCAACTCCAGCCCAACCCAAGGTTCATTCCAGCTGTACTACCTTCCTCATCTGTAGCTTTCCAACAGTGAGAAATCCAGCCAGAGCCTGGGCTGTCTAGCCATGCTATCCCTACCAAAAGAAGGGTCAGGCAGAATGCTACATTGTGCTTTACCTTAAAAAAGCGATTTTGGGGCACTGGCCCCATATGCCAGAGGTGGCGGGTTCAAACCCAGACCTGGCCAAAAACTGCAAAAAAAAAGCGATTCTGACAGACATAGAGAAGCCCTCTCCCATAAAGAGAATGGCATGAACAGAGGCTAGCAGGCAAAGGACATGACCAAGGGTAAGCGTGATTAATGCAGGGGAGAAAACAGACCTCAAGGGGCCTAAATCAAATGCAACAATGATGGTTCATGAAGGTGATTTTACCAGCATCACATCAATTTAGTTGCATTACCCCAGGCAGTGGAGAACAGAACTGCTTGACATTTTGTAGTAGGTGCCAGAACCAAGGTTATCTTCAGGTGAGTAGGAGAATGTAGCTATAGTCATGAACTAGGGTGGTAATGGCCATAATGTAAAAGGATGGTGAAAATGTGCTGCAGAACCATGGGACCTGGTAATTGACCAAGCGTGGGGGATAAGGCTTTAGGCCAGGATGGCTAGGAGCCAGGGGTCTCATGAACTAAGTCCTGTGGGAAGAGTTGGTCAGGAGGGTACCCTAAGAGTTCTTGGCTCAAATTATTTTCCTCTTGAGGGCAAGTGCCAGTGTAACTGCCCTGTGCCCACAAAGCCTCACAAATTGTCTTGTGCAGATAGGCCTGTTTCAGTACTCTCTCCACTCCTGATCTCCTAAGTTCCAGGCTCTCCCTTGGCCCCTACTGCCTTCAACACAAGGTCTGGTCACCATCCTTCCATGGTTGGCAGCCCATCACCCAAAACACAGCTAACAACCCTCTCAAGGCCTTCTACATGCCAGCCCAACTCCCCTTTTCGGTTTATTGCACACTGTAGCCATAGGACACTGCCTACCCTTCTCTGCAGAGGTACTGGGTGCACACCCTTCTCTCCAACCCTGCTGATCCCGGGCACTTCTTTGAGCTCTTACCTTTGCCTAGAATACCTTCCCCATATCTGGCTAAGCCCTGGGCCCTTGTTAGCCTGCCCCAACTGTTGGGTTAGATGCCTGTCCCTTGCCCCCACAATTCTGTATTGAAATGGCCCAGTTTTCTTAACATAGACCTGGATGTTTGTTGGGGCAAGGATATACCTTGTCTACCACAGGCCCTAAATACCTGGCACCCATCCAGACACACTATATGGTCTCAAATACTTAAGTCAAGGAAGAAAGGAGTACACACTCTCATTTCTCACTACTCTCTTGGGCTCCTCTGCCCTCCTCCCCCTGCTTCTTAGCTTCTTCCTGCCCCCTCCTCCCTCTCTACCCCAGCCTGTCTGAACTGATGAGCCCAAGTCATTGCTGGTGTCTGCCAGCCTTAGCCTTGGCTGAATGGGGCATGCAGAGGTGTCCAACAGAACAAGTGATGCCTCATGCTCCTAAGTCTGTATAGGAAAACACAGATGAAGGCAGCCTTGTTCTCTGCTTCCCCTGGACTGTAGTAAAGGGGGTAAGAGGCTCAGGAATTATGCTCCAGGGTGAGAGCCCAGTCTCCTGAGGTCTCCCGTGCCACGTTGCCCTGTCAACCACCAAAACCCTCATGCTTCTGAGCTAGAGCCTGTGCCACACTGCATTCTCTCTGGTCCTTTCACTGAAAGTCCCCAGAGAAGGATGAGCAAACATCAGCACAAAGAACCACACAAAAACAGAGCCACACATCATGCCTTGTCCATAATTATTACTATAATGATTTACAAAAAAAAAATTTTTTTTCAGGCAACTGTGATAAATTATTGTACATATCTGGAAGAGGGAGGTGGAGTCCTGTCCTTAGCAAAAGTGACACCTCTTTCTTGGGGAGGTGGAGAAGGAAATGTCCCCTGACCTCCTCAGGTCTCACTCTTGATTAAATAAATGGCTTTCCTTTAACAAATGAAGACCATTAACCCTTCCCCATCCAGGGAACTAGGGGTAAAGGGGTGGGAGCAGCAAGTCAATGAAGTGCTTTGAAGGGGAGAGCATGACAACTGGGACCCCTGAACATCTGCTGCCCTGGCTCCAAAGAGTCTGCCCTAGGGCAACATCCCCTTATTGGGGATAGAAGACTACCCAGTACTCAGCCCTATGTCAGAGCTCTGCCCAGGAGAACAGAGTGTGAAAGGGTCTAGGCTGCCCTGTAGGGTCAAGAAGGGGAGGTGGCAATGGATGTGGGAGCTGCTACCCATTCCCCAAGGCTCCTCACACAGGCATCCAGGCACTCTGGGCCTGTAAGCTCCAGGAAGCAGCCCCGAAGAGTAGGAGAAAGGAAGCACAGGCCTAACTGGCTGGCCAAAGGGACACCCAGAACAACCCAACACTGGGCTCCTATGATCCAGCTCAAGACTCCCACCCACGCAGCTAATGTTATTCTGTATGTGTGTGTGTGTATGTGAGAGAGAGAGGGCTGCAGGAGGGCACTCCTGTACCACCTACCCAGGGGGTTCAGGGCATGCAAGGGACCCTAAGCCTAGTATATGAGCCCAGACCAAAAAGGGTTAAGGGCTCTGGCTCCCCCTTCCTCCCATTCTCCCTACATGCTCCACTCTTCTGGGGCACTAGAAGGTTTTGCGATGAATAGCACGGGAGCCATCCTCTTCATATTCCTTTTTGGACACCCACATCTTCTTGAAAGTGTCCAGCGAGGCCAAGATGGAGCCACTGTGAGGATGGAGGGATAGTATACTTGTGGACCTGTTAGCTAAGCCAACTGCCCTCCCTGGGTACTCAGAGCTCCATTTCCCTTACCTGGGAGGGAAATCCACCCACCTCCACCTGGCCTGGCCTGGGTCAACCCTGGGAGAAGTATCCAGGGTAAAATGGTCTCCTCCCAGAGCCCTCCCTTTGAGCCCTGCCATACCCGATCCACGTGGAGTACAGCCGTTCCTGAGGAGCTGAGATCTAGAGGAGACAAGTGGCCACATCAATCCCCAGTCCTCACACACACAGCAGCCACCCTCCCAGCCTAGAGGCATCTTCTCAGAGCCTGAAGCTAGGCAGCCAGGGCAGCAGCTAGGAAGTGTGGGCACAGCCAAATTAGGAGGAGCAGGGCTGGGTGAGCATAGACGCGAGAATAGGTCTAGAGGAGGCATTTGCCCTTCCTCCCTAGGCCAAGGTTGCCCAGCACTTCCATGCCCCATGGGGACTTTCAGGAACCTCACCTTGATTTTGACATCCTTTGGGGCAAGCTTCTTCACTTCACTTAGTAATCGGTCGCCGAAGCCTGTGAACACAAGGCTGGCAAAGCCCAGGAACCATGTCCGTCCTCCTTGCTACTAGCTCCCTGAATCCAACCTTCGGCCCCCTCCCCACCAGCTGCTGCTGTTCCTTTTGGCAGTTCTCCCCATGATTAAGAGAAGGGGCAAGCCACTCCAAGGGAGAAAAGATCCAGCTCCACAGCTGCAGGTGGCCCAGCTTCCTGAGAAAGGCCATGTGAAACAAAATCCCACATCATACCATTCTGCCTGACCCTACTTTCTCACCTGACACCTACAATATGCTCAGAGGAAATAAAATTTAACTTTAAATTTTGGTCTTATAAAAAAAGCTAAGCACTAACAAAAAGCCAATGGAAAATGGTCATATCTCTGGTCTGGGGAGGAGGACATAGTCTCCAAGGGTCCAGCTGCCCTCAGCCTTGTCTTACCACTTCCTCCAAGACCACATTACCTTTGAAAAGCGTTGAGCCACCCGAGAGTACTATGTTGGCAAACAGTGTCCGACGAAGGTCCATGTCGGATTTGTGGATGGCGAAGGCCAGCACCTCATGGAGCCCCTCACTCTCTTCCCCTATCAGGTCTGGCTGGAACAGCAGCTCAGGGGCCCGGAATCGTGCAGGCCCCACCTTGGGAGCACAAATTAGAGGCAGACGGGCACCCCCAGAAAGCCAGGCCTCCTTTTCCTCCAGGAAATTCTAGCCTCTCTCCCATCCCCCATGCCAGGCCTGGACACTTACATCAAGTGTGCTGCCATCTGGCAAGGTGTACTGCACCTTCTCTGTCTCCAAGGCCTCATCCTTCTGTGGGTTGATGGACAGGTAGCAGGCTCGCTATAGAGAGCAGGAGTGTAACCCTCAGAAGGCTGGAGCTAGGACTCCCACCGCCCAGTGCCCAAAATTGTTCCCACCTCTGCTTTACCCACCCCAGGTCATCTCCATGCCCGTCTGCCCCTTGTCACCTCTTTGATAGTCCGGACAACCTCAAATTCAGCCGAGGTGTGAAAGTCGACCCCTTCCTTACGCAGCAGCAGCCGGAGATAGCGGGAGACATCACGGCCAGCAATGTCCACCCGCATGATGGAATGTGGCATGGCAAAGCCCTCATAGATGGGGACTGCATGAGTGACCCCGTCCCCCGAGTCTAAAACCACTCCTGTCGTGCGTCCTGTTGCGTACCTGTCACCAGGTCAGCATGCCTCACCTCAGCCACTGAGGCACGGGGACCTCCTCACCCCAGAAGGGACCCTGGGACTTGACAGACTCCCTAAAGGAACAGTTATCAAGCAGCTGTTTCTCCAGAGAAGCCAGATGCCCAAGTAGGAGCAGAGGATGGGGACTCAGGAGCCCAGGGTTTAGGGAGCACTCACAGACTGAGCACGGCCTGCATGGAGATGAACAGAGCTGGCACATTGAAGGTCTCAAAGAACACCTCCGCTGCCTTCTCCCGGTTCTTACTTGGGTTGAGTGGGGCCTCCGTAAGAAGAACAGGATGCTATGACAGATACGAGTGTTGTGGGCACACACAAAGGCAACATTCTAGACCCCTGCTGTGAGCACAGGCAGATGTGGCCTCTCCTTCTTGAGGGCACCACCCTGTTGTTTGCCAGCAGTTACTCTTCCAAAGAGCCAGCTCTTTCTGGGAAATTTTGCCTGGCTATGTATGTACACCAGATACACAGTGAAAAGGCACATTCCCCTCTCAATGTGTAGGGAGCAAATGTGGGCGCCTGACCAGAAAGAGAGCAGAGGTGCCATACCTCCTCGGAGAAGGTCTGTAGCTGATCTTTGGAGTAGACGTATTGCCAGATGCGCTCCATGTCGTTCCAGTCTCGCACCACACCATGTTCCATGGGGTAGCGGATGGCCAGCAGCCCCCGGTGCTCCTGGGGAGGGGATGGGAAGGCCAGGTGTGGACCAGGGCCCTCACCCAGCTGGTGCTTTACACCCTTCTGGAAACTGCCCCCCAACTGTCCTGACTAGAACCACCTGCTCACTGGGGGTCCTCAGGCTCCTCAGTGGGACCTGAACTCAGCACAGGCTCATCTGTCCAGCAGCTCTCAAGAGACAAGCTGGCTTCAGCTGGTACGGACCAGAGAGGGCAACAACGCCCCCACCCCTACCCCACAGCAAGTGCCTCACTCCTCCACTCTCACTGCGCATGCTCTCCCCATCCTTTCCCCAGATACGCCAGCCTCCACCCAACCAATTCCTGTTAGTGCCAGTACCTTTTCCTGTCTGATCCCACGCGGCCCCTCCTGTGGTCACCTGTGTCCACCACCCCTCCCCCCACCCAGCTCTTCAGCTGGTCCTTGACAGCCTCCTGCACCCATATGCTGCCTTTGCCTGCATTATGAGGTTCCCCAGGTGCACTTTTTCTTGCTGAACACAACTTAGCTCCTCTCATCCACTTTGATTCCTAGTGAACTAAGAGCCCTACATCTGTGCCCCCAGTTTAGGCTTCCCCTCTCTCCAGGCCCAGAACTGTGCCTCTCACCCCAGCAGTGTTCCCCAGGTGCCCAAAGTACACTGCCGAGCTTGGTTGGGTATTCTCCCCCACACCCTCGCCCACTCCTTCTAAGGCTGTGATCTGGCCCTGCAGCTCCTACCCAGGTCACCACAGCTAGAGCATGAGAGGCCATCCCCATGACCCTGTCAGAGCTATCAGCAAGTCTGGGCGATTCTGATTCTTTAATCACTTTTGAATCAGTTCTTTCCTCTGTAGCTTCCAAATACCTTCTAAAAGACAGGACATGATGAGGTCTACCCAGGCTCCCCACAACCAAAACCATCACCCCTCTCCGCAAAGAGAAAGTGCACATGGCAGCACTTCACAGCTGGTATGTGATGGAGGAGGGGACCAAGAGGGCACTTACAGACAGAGACCCAAGAAGAGAGCCCTCTGTCTGCTTGCCCGTGGTCACTCCTGTGACTAAGGACCCAAACCCAGGGAAAGGTAGACTCCAAGGTGTTACCTCTGCTTTCGGTCCAATGAAGAGGTCCCCCTCCAGGGCTCCAGCCATTACTCGCATGTGCTTAGGCCGCCCAACACTGTGAGGACAGATAAAGTCAGTGAAGTGGGCAGGGGCCATGCCTGAGCTTGTGTCCAAGTAAACCAAAGTTCAACTCCAACGGTCCAGAGGGTAACTGTCCTCTAAAGCACCAGGACATGACCATGAGGTACAAGTTGGAACTAGGGCCTGTGAGAAATGAACCTACAGAGTGGGCCTTGTCAGGACAGGAGGCTTGGGGCCAGAAGGACAATATCCCTCCCAGAAAGGGCTGAATGTCTAGGGCTGAATGTCTAGGGCTAGAATCCCAGTCTCCATGACCAGCCCTGGCAGAGGGTCAGCCTCCTACAGCCACAATGATTCAGCCCATGCTCTTGACTTTAGTGGGGCAGATTGTCCTCACACTCAGCAGGCAGAGGGAGAATGGCCCTAGGAAGCCAGGGCAAGGCTCCCTTACATAGCAGATGCTGTCCCTTCCCACTGCCAGGGCTACTGGAACACAGAGCTGGTTCTTGGAAACTGTAGGATCTGATGAGCTACCACTCCAAAATTTCACTCATGCTCCCCACACATCAGCAGGAACCTTTCATTACACCCACATAGAATTTAAAGAGGAAAGTGGAAGCTAAGGTGCTCCATGCTGGCTCTGCCCACCAATCAGGCCTGGGGCCCTCAATATACCAAGACAGTCACTCTGGGGCCTTGGGGGTCTTCCTCTGCCCCTCCCCCCACCCAGGTCAATAATTCCAAAACCTCCAGGATTTGGGAAGAGGCACTCCTCAGGGCTAGGCTAGCCTAAGAAGCATTCTAGAGTCTTTCTGAGTTTGTACTTCCCTCTTATTTCTGCCACCACCAGCACCATCCAGGGAAAGACCTCCCTTGACTGAAACAAAAATTTTTTTTTTTTTGAGACAGAACCTCAAGCTATCGCCTTGGGTGAAGTGCCATGGCATCACAGCTCACAGCAACCTCCACCTCCTGGGCTCAAGCAAGTCTCCTGCCTCAGCCTCCCAAGTAGCTGGGACCTTAGGCACCCGCCACAATGCCCGACTATTTTTTGGTTGCAGCCATCATTGTTGTTTGGCGGGCCTGGACTGGGGATTCGAACCCGCCACCTTAGGTGTATGTGGCTGGCGCCTTAGGCGCTTAAGCCACAGGCGCAAAACATTTTCTAGAGTCTGAAAATAAATAAGCCCTGAAAAGAAAACAAAAACATTTCTAGGGAAGAAGGGGTGGCTGGGAGTTACCTATATAACTCCCCATTTGTTCTGCTCCAAGTGTAGGGCTCCCTTTGGAGATACCTCCCTATTATTACTCTGCAGCTGCTACCACACCCCATCCCTGGGGGAATGCAGGCTGCTTCTCTGCTTGCTCAAGGAGAGACCAAAATGAGAGACCCCAAAGAGGAAGAGGAAAGCCAGAGCCCCTGCCTTGCCCTTTCAGAGCTCTCTTGGTCATATAAACCTCACAAGTTGGTGCTTTCCCTTTCAGGTAGTGACAAGAGATGTCCTCAAAGATAGCTGTGATGCAGGGCCAATGTTCTCAAAGGAAGCAAACAAAAGGGTTAGGGCTGCTGCCTGAGCAACACTTACTAGTTCGGGAAACAGTATTTGGGAATCTGGTCTCCTGCAAAGCCAGCCTTGATCACTCCTGAACCCTGCAAGGAAAAACAATGCTTAGCTCCCAGTATTGACCTCCAGATGAAGATATAGCCCTGCAGTATGGCTGCAGGCTGGCTGCAGCTGGCTCCCCCTCCATGGCATGCAGGGAATGCAGCCAGAAGACAAGATCATTTATTTATAAGCATACCAGTGGTTCAAAACTGGAGGCAATTTTGCATCCCCTAGCCCTGGGAACATTTGGCAAAGTCTGGCAACTGGTGAGGGAGGTATGTGGGACGGTGCTACTGGTATCTAGTGGTAGAAGCCAGGGATACTGTTATAATGCACAGGCCAGACTCCACGACCAATAATTATCCAGCCCAGAATGTCAATAACACACAGATTGAGAAACCATGAAGTACATTCTCTACACGCTCAAGGGCCAGGTCCAGGCAGGAGGATTTCATGGCTCAGAAGGCAGTGAGAAGAAACCCCTCAAAATGTATTTTTTTTTCCCTAACAGCTCTCCCCTCTACTTGACTCCAACAGACATGGACCACATATAGGGCCTTCTGAGGAAGACCACTGGGTGCATGGGACAATTGGTTCCTTTCCTCTAGTGGCTAGAGAATGACTTGGTTCTGTCACTGCTCCTGCCTGGAAGCTGCACTTAGGATCCCCTAAATAATCTGGTATTTTGAAACTTCCCACCCAGAGAAGGAACCAGTTTCTCAATCCCCCTTCTTCCAATCTTCATCACAACCCTCCAGGTCTTCAACAATAATAAACACCTTCAAACACCTTCAAGTTACAGAGGCACCAAGCAGCTGCCCTCTGAAGTCATAAGCCTGTTGATAGGCCTACATGAATTACTTGCCCACCAAGAAAGGAAAGAGCCTGGTCCTTCTTGTAGCCTGGAGACCTCGTATGATAGCACATCCCCAAACCCAGTTTTAGTACCCTTATTAAAAATCCCCTTCTATGACTCAAGTGAGCCCACATGGGTACTCCAAAAAAGAAAGCCATCCAGGGACCTCACAGGGTCATGTGGGAGGGAGATAAATCCCAGAAAGAGCAGAAGTGAGTCATTATCAAACCCCCACAAGGCAAACACCCAGTTAGGGCCAAATCCATAAACACTCCCCCATGCTCCCCACCCCCCAGCCCTTATCTTCTTCCCGTATCAGGGGTCTGAGGCCAGAAATCCACCCAAGGCAGCTGAAAGTAGGTCCAGCCCCAGTGCTGAAGGACAAGGCCACAAGAAGCCAGACATCTTTCATCTGAGGTTTCCAGACAATTACCCCAAACTGCTTGTCAATCTAGGAAGAGTAGCTCTGAACTCTATACACTGTCCTGCTGGGTGTGGAATTTTCTGCTCAGCACAGGGAGCAATTCAGAAGAGAGCCAAAGTAGCCAAAAGGCCAACCTAGTGGTGGGGGACATGTGGCTAGCAGAGAGTAACTTGCATTTTTTGCCTCAAGGTGCAGCTCCCTGGGATGTGCTGCTGTTGAGATCACCAGGACAACCCCCTCCAAAAGATGGGGCCAATACTGTGCAAAAAGACAAATGCAAATCCCAACTCCACCAGGCAGTTATAGAGCCAGGGCCAAAGGAAAGGCAAAGGAGCTGGGGTCAAAACCTGCCTAGCGACTCCACTCTCAACCGAGAAAGGAAGTGTCTCTGGCCTGAAACACAAGTGCACACTAATTGGCCCTAATGCCACTCCAGGTTTCCTGAACTTTCCCTCCCTGTTTGTGAAGGACTAAGGGAACAGGCTCCGTAATGCTGGCGAGGGGGCTGGCGTGAAGGCCAGGGGTCCAGGGCCAGGTGGTTGCGCTAGCTCTTGGGAAACCGAGCAGGCTAGCTAGCGCCAGCAGATCAGCAGTGAGCGGAGGATGAGACAGGCGGGCGGGGGGTTCCTCCCCGCGCCGCCGCGTGCGCCCCCGGGGGCGGAGCGCCCGCCCTCCCCCTGGCTGCCGGGCCTCACGTTGTCGATGACCACGGGCTGGTTGGCGATGATGTCGTAGGACTCCATGGCCGGGCCGGGCCGGCCCTGCCCAGCAGGCGGGCTGCAGGAAAGACCGGCGGGTGGGTGGACAGGGACAGCCGCCGCTACAGACGCGGCGCCGCGCCCCTCCCACCCTGAACGTGCAGCCTACGCGGGCCCGGAGAGGTTTTCTGGAGGACCGACCCCGCAGCCAATCACCGCTCCCACCTGGCCGGACTGACTCAGGGCGCCCTGGGCCGACCGCAGATAGGGGGCGGAGCTTCCCAGGGCGGGCCAGCCTATGGTGGCCGTCCAGTAGAACGGCCGGGGCGTTGCTAAGGTAGGCTGCGCCGCGTAGGGGCTGACGTCAGGTCTCCACTCTTAAAGGGGACGTAGCCTGTAGAAAGTGGAGCTCTGGTAGTGAGCGGACGCGGCGGAGTGGAGGGAATCACCTGTCCAGCAATACATCTTACCCGCGCTCCAGCACCTGAGACCACTCTCTTTTGTGAGCCTACCTTTCTCAAGGAGGCCGGCCTTAGATATTTCACCCCAAATTTTTCTTTCATGAGCAACAAGGAGGATTTTTTTCCTTGTAAAAATTACAGTTTTGTGGCAATTTGGTTTCGACATTAATTGAGAACCTGTTAAGAGACAGCGGGGCCCTTCTACCCACTCTACATAGATGATATCCAATCTCTGCAACAACTCTATCGGGCAGTTGTATTATTATTGCCATTTCACAGATGAGGGAACAGAGAGTCCAGGGTTATTTGCGTGAGGATTAGCAGGCAGGCAGCCTGGGCTGCTCCAGGTTCAGCTGTCGCTAGAAAGTGAGATAATTGAGTCCTAAATTCATTTACCATATGGACCCACGGTTATTTCCTTCTATATATACGTCTCCCTCAGTGAACTTAAGCTTTGTAATATGGAAGCATAGTATACATAAATGTGCAGAGATCACAAGTGCACATTTCAATAAGTGATTGAAATGTGCGAGCACTTGCATAACCGTTCCTGAGTGCAGAGAAAAGCAGGGTGGGGCATAGTGGCCGCTCCTGTAGTCCCAGCTACCGGGGAGGCTGAGGTACGAAGATCTTTTGAGTCCAGGAGTTTCAAGGTTACGGTGAGCTATGATCGTTCCACTGCACTCCAACCTGGGCAACAGAGTCAGACCTCCCTCTCTAAAACGAAAAGAAACAGCATGACCAGCACTCCAGAAACCCCTTACCCGCTTAGTCACTGGCCTGATCTTCTTCCAAGGTAACTTCTGTCTTAAATTGTGAAAATATTGCCTTTTTCTGAACTTCATGGAAATAGAATATTGATGTATATTCATTTGCATCTAGCATCTGTACATTCATAAAATGGATCATTGTTCTGGCATCAAAAATGAGAAAGTCTTACATAATCCTACATAAAACACTTCAGGATAGATTGCTGAGTAAAAACAAGGAAAGAGCCAGACACAGAGTATAGAATGTAATATGCATGAATGTCTCTAAAGAGGATAGGAGGCACCTTCACGTCTCCATTTAATATGGGGAAGGGACCATTGTGAGTGAATGGAGAATAGGTTTTTACCTTATAAACTTTTGTATTGAGTTGTTTCAAACTTGTGTATGCAAATGGATACAACTTATGTTACTCAGGTGATTGATACACTAAAAGCCCTGACTTCACAATATATCACTGTGACAAAATTACACTTGTACTCCATAAATTTATACAAATTAGAAAAACTACTAAATAGGCTCGGAGCCCGCCCGTACCACAGTGGTTACAGTGCCAGCCGGCCGCATACACATTGCTGTTTAGCTGGCCCAGGATAGTTTGAACCCACCAGCCTGGGTGTACGTGGCCTGTGCCCTACCCACTGAGCTTCCGGCGCTGCCCAAACAATTTTTACTTTTTTTTTTGAGACAGAGCCTCAAGCTGTCACCCTGGATAGAGTGCCATGGCATCACAGCTCTCAGCAACCTCCAACTCCTGTGCTCAAGCAATTCTCCTGCCTCCACCTCCCAAGTAGCTAGGATCACAGGTGCCTGCCACATGCCTGGCTATCTTTTGGTTGCAGTCGTCCTTGTTGTTTGGCGGGCCAGGGCTGGATTCGAACCTGCCAGCTCAGGTATATGTGGCTGGTGCCTTAGTTACTTGAACCACAGGCACTGAGCCCAATTTTTACATTTTTAAAGAATTGTAACAACAATAAGAATATGCTACAGAGAAATATGTGGCCTACAAAGCCTAAAGTATTTTCTTTCTTTTTTTCTTCTTTCTTTCTTTTTTTTTGCAGTTTTTGGCTGGGGCTGGGTTTGAACCTGCCACCTCAGGCATATGGGGCTGGTGCTCTACTCCTTTGAGCCACAGGCGCTACCACCTAAAGTATTTTCTATCTGGTCTTCACACACACACACACACACACATAAACACACACACACACACACACAAATAGTTGACGCTCACTCTAGACCTGGGTGACTGCATAGAAATAGATGTTTTTCTCTCATGTCTAGATCCTTAACAAAGCTGCCTGGAAATAAGAGAAATTAGGCAGAGGATGAGCATGTAGAGGCAATTAGTAAATCACACGTGTGCTCCATGGCACACTGAGGTTGCAAAATAGCCCATGTTCTCCTCCTCTGGTGATGGGAGGCGACAGGAGAAATGGGAAGGGGTGGGTTGGAGAGGAGTGGGTGAAGATTTGGTTATGGGCT